AGGAATGCCACCACAGCGTAGTATTCCTCCTCCAGCAATCCTTGATCCATCTCTTCACCCACCACCTCGAGGTCCTTTTCCTCCAGGAGATATTTTTAATCAAACAGAAAGACCTTTTGGAACACCAGGAAGACAGAATATCGATAGCATTTCTAATCCAGAGAAAAGACTGCCACTTGGAGGCGATAACATTCAGTTTTTTTGAGACAGAGATTATCGCTTTCCTCCAGTGGAAAACCGAGATAATCTTAACAGGCCATCTCCAGTGGATGTCAGAGATTCTGTTGGACGACCACCAGTTGATCCAAGAGAGGGTATAGGAAGGCCTCCAGTAGATGGAAGAGAACACTTTGCAAGACCACATGTAGACATGAGAGAAAATTTTGGAAGACCAGGTATAGATAACCTTGGTCGAAGAGAGCATTTTGGTTTCAATTCAGACAAGCACTGGGGACAGAGAGGAGATTATGATGAAAGAGAGCACCATGCCTTTCCTGTGTATGGTGGTCCTAAAGGCTTCCATGAAGACAGAGAGAGGTTTCGGCATGTAAACTATAGGTTTGATAGTAGAAGTGGTCCCAATTGGAACAGAGGATTTGAACAAGATACTCACAGAGATTTTGATGACCGCAGAAGACCCTGGGAAAGACAGAGGGATAGGGATGACAGAGATTTTAATTTTTGCAGAGAAATTAATGGGAACAGGTTTGGAAGAGACAGAATGTCAAACAACTGGGTCCCCCCTCCACATCCACGGGTTTTTGAATATTTTGATGGGGCCACTTCCCAACGCAAAGCTGATAATATGCCCCAGGTGAACGGTGAAAACACAGAGACAGAAAGTCAGCCACCAACTGCACAGGTGCAGGACGATCCAGAACTTTATGAAAAACTGACATCTTCCGTCGAGATAAACAAAGAGAAGAGTGACACAGAAGCTGATATAGAAAGTGAACCAGTGGTAGAAAGCACAGAAACTGAGGGGACATAATCATCACTCAGTAGGTAAAAGATACCTTTTGTAAAGTTGTCATCTCTCTGTAATAGATAAATGGCTGACTGGACCGTAGCAGTTCACTTTTGTCTGCCAGAATTAAGTTAATCTGATGTTCATGTTCATCTTTGACTTAAATAACTGTACAACTGACTTGTATAGAACACTGTTCTTAATTTGAACATGGTAGGTAAACTTTTTTTTTATTTCTCTGGTAAAGCATAAACTTGCCCCCACTTGCTTTTAATTTCACAAAGATAAAATAACAGCTTGTCAAACAAAGACTTCCTATGGAAGAAAATGGAATTTTTTAGATACTACCCTTAGGTTGGCTATCGAAATTGTTATACTTGAAAACAGGTGCTGGTGTATCTTGTCCGTGTTTTTAGGCTGCTCCAGAATTTTAAAGTATAGACAAAGCTGTGATATTTTATGTTCCTACAATTCGGCAGAAAAAGAAATGGCCCATGTTATTTAAGGAGCATAACACAGAGATTAAAAGTGATTTTGTAAAATCTACACTATAGTCTCTGTTTTCTCTAAAGTAAGTGTTTGTGATTTGTTCCTCGTACTGCAGTGGGTTTAAAAAAAATGAAAAAAGTACATTTTAATGTTGGGTGCATTTTGTTTTTAGATGCCAATAAAGCATATTTGTTTGATAACAGTGTTCTAGGTATTGTATTTTTTTAAAAACCTACAAGCTCTAAAAACTTGGAATCAGCTATGATATGTTCTTAGTCAGTTGTTGCAAAAAGTTTATATTACTTTTGTAAGACCAGTGCAACAGTTATATGTGCAAGAAGCATATGGTTTTTACATCAAAAATCATGCAGTCCTACTAGTTTATGTAAATAACATGTATGTAAATATTTGTGTAAACTGTTTGTAGATACCACTTTTTCTGTGTGTGCCTGTGTATGCGCACGCACTCACAGAATATTGTAGACAGTTCAATAAAATTGAAATTAAGCTAGGTTGTAAAAATTTGCCTTTCACCTTCTTTAGGTAGTAAGAGAGCAACATTTATTTCACTGCAATACTGTCAAGCTTATATTTACCTCCTCCTGCTCATTGTTACAGTGTTCTTACTGCTTCTAGAAGGTGGAACATGATACACTAAGAATATACAGTAGGATTTTAGCTTACTTTTTAAAATGCAGATAATGCATGAAGCCAAATCTTAAGCAAATATTTGCGTTGTCTTATTTTGTAATATACTTGGTATTCTGGATAGATAGTGTTCAAGTTCTCTGTGGTTATTTGTTTTTTGTGACTCAAAATCCAGAAATGTTGCACGAAAAGTAAAAAAGCTGTTGTTGGTCTAAAAAAACCCAACATACTTGTAACAGACATAAGGGGGGGCTTTGTGTTTTGATAGCTGAATATTGAAGTAGAATGTCTTCTTAAATCATTGAGATGAATCGGCTGCTCGGGTAAATTAGTAGCGCTGTTCTCTCCTGTTTCACCTACTTTGCTGCTTGTGTATCCTTTAAATTGGTGCTGAAAGATTTGGCTATAGGGTAATGTCAGATTTTCAATTTGTTCCACTCAAGTGCATTTCACCTTCTTTCAACATAACATTTGGTAAAATTCTGTGTCTGAAAGTATCCTTCCACTCACTTTTGAGAAAGTTGTTTTTTTCTTACATATTGGGATCCAAGGGTAGATTCTGTTATTTGAATGCCCCTTTGGTAGAGGAAACATTTTTAGCTCAGATTAGAATTTCGATCTTTAACATTAAAGCATTAACATGCAAGTTTTAATTCATCTTCTGCTTCCCCCAAAGGGATGAAAAGGATGGGAATGTCACGTGAGTGTAAAGCATAAGCATGGCTTTGAATGTAGAAGCAAGTTACACGTGTGTGTTGCCCTCTCCCTCTGGGAGGTGGGGTATTTCTTCATGCTGGGTCACGGTTCAGATTTTCAATTACAGGGACTTTTATTCTGGATAGTAAACAAACTGTCAGCTTAATGAAGGTAGCCCTTTGGAAGAGTGGACTTGAATGAATGATTATTTACCGTGCAAGTAGTAGTCATTGGGATGTAGTGAGATAAGCATTAAATAACCAGTGCTTTGTAATAGACCTTGCTGATGTATTTATTACCAGAACATGTCTCAGGAGTTGAGATGAATAGTGTTTAAGGTAAAAGTACCTTCGTGGGCAGACTCTGGCTCAGGGAACTTGACTGATGTTGCGGCACAACCTACTTGTAGTATTCTGGTCAGGTGGATGTGGTTGTGTGAAAGTCCAAACGCACAAAATAGCTATAAGAATGCTTTATGAGCTGAAGGGGTTTTCTTTATTTCGTTTTAGTATCTTCAGTTTGAAAAGGCTTCAGTCATAGACCACATAAATGGTCAGAATCAAACACATATTGGCAGTAGCTTTACTGTTCAAACACTTTGTTAAATGCCTCTTCAAAACTGAAAGTTAATCTGTTTTTCTAAAGTGGGACTGGCAGTATGCTAAATTGCTCATAGTGTGATGGTTTAGGTAAATTACCAGGTGAGAGATGTTAAACAATTTGGTTGGTAGTGGTATAAACCAATGTATTATTTAATGATTTTTTATCTTTGTTATTATTTTTCAAGCATTAATAAATTGGCTACTGTACATATGTGTTATACTATCAATTTCTAACAGCTATTTTATTTTTTTGTAGAATAAAAGTTTGTTGTACAGTCTTCAGTTGCATCCTGTTTACAGCTAAAACTGTTCCATTTCTTATTTTTTTAGTGTAGCATGCAGAGAAATATTACAAAAATAGCCATATTCAGAAACCCAGAAAGTACCTAATGTTATCAAAACAGTATGTTTTTTTATCTTGCAAACAGGAACTTTTAAACCTTTCACAGTTTGAGTGAAGACTTTCCTTTCTCACTGTAGATTAAGCCTTTGTAAGCCAACACATGCACTGAAAGGAGCTGTCCTGAGATCCAGACCAGTTCTTTGATGTGATTCATGGTAGCGATGTAACTTTTGCTGATGCAAAGCAAAGGGTGAGAATGGGACAGAAAGAAGATGGGGGCCAGGCATTTGGGCAGCAGTTCTGTCTTATGCCTGTTTAAAGCTTGCTCTAGTGATGAAAGGTGGTGTTTCTAGCAGCTGAAGAAGCTGACCTACTCTTTACATAAGTAACGTACGTATTAAAAAATATTTCAGGTAGCTTTGCAGGCAACACAGTGTAGTTAGGCATGCACATTTACCTGAAAACCTTACGCATTAGTAAGTTGTTTGAGGTATTTATTACCTTTTAAAACAGCCTATGATTCTGATCTTTCACTGTACTGTATTTGAGCAGAATGCTACATCGATAAAGATCACGAAGATGAAACGTAGCCTTCATTTGCTGTAAGGACGTGATTTCTTTGCCGAAGCCTTTTTCTGTGAAATATTGGTACACCTTTATTTTTATATGTAGCGTTTCACATTGTTATAAACTCAAGGGAATAGATTCTGTTAGATTCCTTTGCTTCAGTAGAGTAGTATACGATTCTTCAAGCCATTTCAGTGATTTAAATGGCTTTCTTGGTGAAGTTAAGGTACTTATACCCTGAATAAAGCAAGAAGGGAATACTGTAATCAAGTGGCATGCACAGGCATTACTTAAGCACAGTTGGAAAAAAAAATATAAGCCAATTTATTGCAGACTTCTCTCAAGATACAGCGTCAGCAGTTTTGAATATGTACAAGGATACGTTACGCCAGTCAACACTTAAAGTACTCATTTTCTTGATTCATGTCCCCCTAACTCAAATCTTTGGGTCACCTGATTTGAAACTGGTAAAAATGGATCCCAAATTTCATTCTCTGTATTTTCACTAGTGTATTTAAAAATACCATAATAATGAGTCTTTTTTGTCTTTTGATAATGGGAGCTGAATGGATATAATTTTAAAAATCATTCAGATTATCAAAAGTCATCAAGAGTAAGTAGGGTAGATTTTTTGTTATTGATAATTCAGGTAACGAAAGGAGCTTTCTTTCCCTGTTGACCGTTACTGCGGAATCTCTTAAATTTTGCATTAGTCTCATTTTCCTTTCAAGTGCTGGCCTTTCACAAGTAAGCAGGTACTGTGAAGCCTCTACTTGTGTAGATGAGAGATTGATTTAAAAGGTATAAAGACAGGATATTCTTTTTTATTTGAGGCTGTTTATTTGAACAAGAATGGCAAAAGCATCTTTTGACCATGTTGCTGTCCTATATTCGTTCACATCTCCAGAAACTTTGCAGTGGCAAAGAGAATATCATTGCAAGACTGTCTCAATTATAACTAGTCTTATGTTTCTCCTTGAAGGGCCATCTTAGTGATGTTATTTACTCCACTTAGGCTGTGCAAGGTCTTTGGGTATCAATAAATATTTTGAATTTTATTAATGTATATACATGATATTTCATAGTAAAGAAAAGTCAAGTAGAGCTACTGAAAAGAAAATTAATGACATCTCTGCAAGAGTGATAACTTCCAGCAATGGTATATACCATCTCGGAAGTGATTCTTATCGGTGATGGGATGGTATGAAAGTCTGTTAATAGGGTTCTTGTTGAAGTTGGTAAGCTATAAAATTCTGTTTGCCCCAATTCTTGTATTCCTCTCTGTCTTGCACAGACTTGATGAAGAAGGGTAGTCTTATGGAATATCCTACTCTTAGTATCTTTTAGATGCTCTGCTACCAAAGATTAGAGGAGGGGAAGGACTAGTGGTCTGTGCACTCTTAAAAATCAAGAAGTTAAGTTGTGCGGTTGAAGATGAAGGTATTTCCTCTTCATATGAAGTTAAAAATGCACATTTCAGCACTTGCATAGGAACAGTGATATTAGTGCTGTCACTGGTTTACTGATCTTATTCTGTACTTTGTCTTTTTTCTTTTAAAGTGAGCTCACTAATGCTAATTTTAAGTTTTCTCTTCTTCCTAACAGATGAAGTCATACTAATGCCCTCAGAGAAGGGACTATTTTGTGCTTTACAACAAAAAATAAATAATCTGGTCAGAGTATTTTAACCTGTAGATAAGTTAGTTGAACATTTTTTCATTCCTGATTTAGTGCTTTAACGCTGCAGTTTTTCTCTTGAATGATTTTCTCTATGCATATCTGTGTTATAATGGATGTGTGTTCACGTTAGCATATATCAAGCTTTCTGCTGAAATGCAGAAAAATTGTGACCTTCTTTAAGGTGGATGACTTGAAGTGTTTCTAAAACTAGGGTAAACTTCACAGCCATATTGATTTTTATACTGGAGCATTATAATTGTGTTGGAGCATTATAACTGCGTGCAAGCCAGTGTGAAAAACCCTTAAAAGGTGAAGAGTATTAAATGCATATAGAATTGTTAACCCAGGTGTAGATTGGTAGGATTCACACAGGCCATAGATGCAGGGTCTTTGGATCTGAATGTCACTTCCACACAAAAGGAGAGATCATGTTATAGTGACATCTGGGAAAATAAGAAATGTAGCTTTTTATTTT